TGTCAACTCACGTATAATAGACTAGACACTAGATACAGTCAAAGAGTACACAGTGCAGAGATTTATGCGCGCGACTACGGAGAAGTTGTTCTTGTTGCCATATAATACTGGCCATGGGTTAGATTTTATTCTAAATTCATTTATTATAATTGTTCGATTTTTCCCTTTCTATATAACATTTTCGTCTAAACTGTTGTCTTATTTTATATTGGACATTGGTTATTGATCGCGATTAATCCGACGAAAGAAATAGTGTATTATATAGATTCATTGGATGACGATACAACAAAATATGAAAATCTGAGGAACTTTGTTGATACGTAAGTGATGAGATATATTGTTGTCTTTAATTATATATCTTTATTTATTATGTGACATTGTTCTAAATATGCGTTTATATTATGTTAGAGTTATACAAATATTCAGAGCACAAAGAGATGCAACGGTGCCAAAAAGCAAGGCTAACAACATCAACTGGATCAGAGTGGAGGTATATTTTCGCATGTTTGACTGTTATAGTGGTTCTACTTGATAAAACTATTTAAACTATATATCCTAATAAATGTTCGTTTGTTTTTTCCATTTACAGTGTCCTCGGCAGCGCAATGGTATTGACTGTGGATATTTTGTATTGCGCTTTATGAGGGAAATTATTCTTTCTGGTCAACTTGAGATTCCAGTCATGGTATGGATCAATTCATTATATAAGTTATATGATTCATTTTGATAATTATCCGATACTTCATCTGAGTAATTAGTTTTAAAATTAAATCTTATTCGATCTGTTATATTATGTAGTATTTTGATGAATTCAAGTGCGTTACTTACACGAAAGCAAAATTGGAAGAAATTAAAGAGGAATAGTGTCAATTTATTCTTGGGTTGAGAATTGTATAGAGTGATCGGATTGGAAGAATTGTAATTATATGTAAATTGAATGTATTTGTGTTGTTGTAATTCTGAGGATCGAATTTTGTTGTAACATATTTAAACAGGTTTATGTGTATATTAAAATGTTTATGAACAAAGTGATGAGTTATAATGTATCCAAAGTTTTGAATTGTATATATAAGGCCAAAGTGTTGAAATAAAGGCCTGAATTATAAGCAGGTTTGTGTAATATAAGCAGGTTGTTGGTAAATATACAAAACAGAGTGAATACTTAAAAAAAAAATTAAAATCTGGGACATTAGACAGCGCTTTTACGAAAAAGCGCTGCTAAAGGTCACAAACATTGCGCTACAAAAGCGCTGTTATAGGTTTGGAAGGGGGGTCTAAGACAGCGCTTCTAAAAAGCGCTGCTAAAGGTGGGCTCTAAGACAGCGCTTTGTAAAAGCACTACTAAAGGTGGGCTCTAAGACAACACTTTGTGAAAGCGCTGCTAAAGGGGGGATGGTTGGGGGGAATATGCAGCGCTTATGAAAGCGCTGCTAAAGGGCTATAAAAGTGTTGCTGAAGGGAGCCTTTAGCAGCGCTTTTTCCATAAAAAAGCGCTGCCTTTACCTTTAGCAGCGCCACTTTTGGCAGCGCTTTAAAGCGTTGCTAAAGGCCAAAAAAAGTGCTGCTAAAGGTCTTTTTTGGCATAGTGTCTACACCCCACACATATACCTGCGCTTCAGGAGTAGGATAACCACCTTATTCAGGAGGATGAAGATGTTCATGAGGAGCAAGAAAATTATATTGTATAGGAGATTTTGGTGGTTGAAGGACGACATTTTATTAGGCTTGAGGGATCTGGGTATGTTTTTAATTTATAATATTTATTTAACTATATATTGCCATTTTATGTTTAATACTTATTCAAATTATTGTTGTTTAGTTTTGATCCGTGTCGGCCTACTACAAAAGCTGTAAATTGGGTCATTCAATTGATGTATAAAAAACTCACTAAGTCTTTCGGAGAGCTCCCAAATACTGAGAAAGATATATGGTTTAATAAATTCAAGGTTAATTGAATTTTTATTATAGTTATGTTATTTTATAGTTATATTTTGTTATATAAATATCTAACATTTTATTTGACAGTCATATAACTTGCATGAAATGTATACTTGGCAAAAACTTGACGAGGTCAAAATTTAAAACTTTTTTAGAAGTAAAGTATCTAGAAGATTATCTGACATGCTCAGGAATGCTAGACAACGTTGGGAAAGAGATCAAACTCGTCATAACTGGATAGGCAAGGAAATGTTTGGGGAACTTATTGAGTGGTGGAAGACAGAAGATTTTCAGAGAAGATCTGAACATGCAAAAAAGATGAAGGCATCTGAAGCAGGTGGCTGTCTTAGTACAGTTGGAAGTATCAGTATCGGTGAACATCGTCGAGAATGGTAATTATAACTATTTTTTTAAGTTCTATTTTGTATTATTATATATTTAATTAAACTTAATTATTTTAATTAAAAATATGATTTGGGGAGGGAGCCACGAATTAATGAGTTATTTGTGAAGACCCGAACCAAAAAATCGGGGGAGTTTGTTGACGGTCGTTCCAAATAAACCTTGGTAACTTGTTTATAGTTGAATTATTTTATTTCATTATTATTGTATATAATTAAATTGTTTAAACTATATTTATTTTAATTTAATTTTTTTATGTGTATGTAGGAGTTGTACCAGACCTTGCTTGCCCAATTTCTAACTGAAAATCCTTAATATATGCCGATTGAGAATGCACTGCTTGATCCACGCATGGATCTTTATATTTGGAATTTAACAGTAGGCGGGAAGGGAGTCAATGGTTGTTTTTTTGGTCTTGGGTCTTTGGCTGGCGATTATTGAAAAGGGGACCAAACTTTATTTCAAAGACTCTATGATGGGGAAGGAGAATCTCGTCTGGCAGAATTGACACCAGAAATATTGACAACAGTGAGAGAGTTAGATATATCTGAGGCGAGACGAGAGTCGGAGGCACGTGAGGCGGCCCTAAAGGCCGAAATGGAGAATATGAGAAATAGGAAAAATGTTGAAATGGAGGAAATGAGGAAGCGGCAATCTGACATGGAAGCACAAATGCGACATTTTTTTGCCTCACAATCGAATTATTCTGTCCAAGATGATGAAGAAGATGAAGATGCTATGTTTAGTAGTGACGGTGAATAAATTTTTTATTATTATTATTTATGTTTATGACGTGAATATAATGTGACTAAATATTTATATCTTTTAATAATTGTATATATTTAAAAAAATTAAAAAATTATTTTTTTACTTTTTTATTTATTAATTCATTGTATTCATTAATATTTAATTATTTTTAATTATTAAATTAAACAGTAATATGAAAACAAAGTCATTAAATTTAAAATAGATTTTTGTTTGTGGCAGGAAAACCATGTCACTAATTAATGACATGGAAATCACGTGGGAAAACATACACGCTGCAGGTACTTTGGGAAAAGTGATTTCCCACGTGAAATTGACGTCACTAATTAGTGACGAAATTCACGTCACTAATTAGTGACGTGATTTTCACGTGGAAACTTTTTCAATTAATTTAGTGGTTTGTGGCGTGAATTCCATCTCACAAATTACTGACGTGAATTTCACGTGGAAAAATATTCCCACCGTTGCTTTTCCGGCGTGCTCTACCCACGTTGCAAATTTTGTTTAGTGACGTGGTTTTTAGCTTAGTGACGTAAATACCATGTGGCAAACTACAATATTTTTTGTAATGATATATATATATATATATATATATATATATATATATATATATATATATATATATATATATATATATATATATATATATATATATATATATATATATATATATATATATATATATATATATATATATATATATATATATATATATATATATATATATATATATATATATATATATATATATATATATATATATATATATATATATATATATATATATATATATATATATATATATATATATATATATATATATATATATATATATATATATATATATATATATATATATATATATATATATATATATATATATATATATATATATATATATATATATAAGAAATATGATATATCATTGTATAATAATGAAATTGATAATAATAAAATAAAAATTATCGATTTCTTTTCCAAAAATTAGCTTAATTGTTTGACGTCCTCTTACACATTTATACATTAAATAGTCTAGTAATTTAATCAATATGAAACTCCAAACAAACTCTAACAACACATATACAACTTCATTACATATATCAACATATGAACTGGTCCAAAATCTAAAATAAAAACTTATATATATATATATATATATATATATATATATATATATATATATATATATATATATATATATATATATATATATATATATATATATATATATATATATATATATATATATATATATATATATATATATATATATATATATATATATATATATATATATATATATATATATATATATATATATATATATATATATATATATATATATATATATATATATATATATATATATATATATATATATATATATAATGTTTAGTTAAATATTTTAACACAATAATATAATATGCCAAAACCTCTAATACACATGTGCCATAGAAAGTTAGTGGATTATATTGGTTAGTTATAAAGTGCATCTTGAAAGAATATATTTTTGAAAAACATGTGAAAAGGTCAAAGAACTAATACCACCTTGAGTCTCAGTCTGATTAATAGAACTTTTGAGGTAACAAACTACGTGACACCCTACTTTGTAGCTAATCTAAATGGTATTTCTTATCAATGCAAATTGCTAAAGTTAGTTAATAGAAAATGTAGTTAGTGGATAGTGACAATCATAAGCTATTTTTGGTTATTTAACACTTGAACATGTTTATCAATCATCTATAAATTTCCCTACTTCTACCTATTAAAGCAGTAAACTATATAACTACATCATTAAGTGACATAAAAAGGAAACAAGGAAACGTATAACTCAACAAAGTGGTAGTAGTGTTATTTTCTTAATTTGTAGTAATTCATTGAAGAGGTGAATTAATATGGCAGGTGGAGCTTTTGTTGATACAAGTGGAGTGAGACATTATGAAGGAAAAGTAACTGCCTTCGTGTTGATTACATGTTTTGTAGCTGCAATGGGAGGTCTTCTTTTTGGTTATGATCTCGGTATTACAGGAGGAGTGACTTCTATGGATGAATTCTTAGTTAAATTCTTTCCATCTGTGTATAAGAAAATGAAAGATGAGACACATCAAACAAGTCAATATTGCAAATTCGACGATCAACTTCTAACGTTGTTTACATCTTCCTTATACCTCGCAGCATTGGTCGCTTCTTTCTTTGCTGCCACAACTACGAGAGCATGGGGACGCAAGCCCTCAATGTTTCTTGGTGGATTTTTTTTCTTAGTAGGTGCATTATTAAACGGATTAGCAGTTAACATTGAAATGTTAATCATTGGTCGTCTACTTCTAGGATTTGGCGTTGGATTTTGTAATCAGGTTTGAATTATTCAAGCATTATATAACTTTTTTTCAAGTTTAAAATTTCTATCATTATTTTAACTTTTAATCGGTGTAAATTTTATTGAAACAGTCTGTACCAGTGTATTTGTCTGAAATGGCTCCGGCGAATATTAGAGGAGCACTCAACATTGGCTTTCAAATGATGATTACAATTGGTATTCTAGCTGCAAATCTTATCAATTATGGCACGTCCAAGCTAAAAAATGGATGGAGAATCTCTTTAGGTCTTGGAGCAGTGCCAGCAATTGTTTTATGCATTGGAGCTCTTTGTTTAGATGAAACACCTAACTCCTTGATTGAAAGAGGAGATCATGAAAAAGCAAAATCAATGTTGAAAAAGATCCGTGGCACTCAAAATGTCGATGAGGAATTTCAAGATCTTGTTGATGCTAGCGAGGAAGCTAGTAAGGTGGATCATCCATGGAAGAATATTTCTCAACCACAATATAGACCTCAACTCACTTTTTGCTCCTTCATTCCATTCTTCCAACAACTTACTGGAATTAATGTCATCATGTTTTACGCTCCCGTTCTTTTCAAGATCTTAGGATTTGGTGATGATGCTTCACTCATGTCTGCAGTTATTAGTGGTGGTGTCAATGTTGTTGCCACACTTGTTTCTGTCTTCACCGTAGACAAGTTTGGAAGAAGGATATTGTTTCTTGAGGGTGGCACACAAATGTTTGTTTGCCAGGTGAAAATTTTCACACATATCAAACACATAGGCATTGATAACTTAAAAAAAAATGATTTAATCTAATCAACAATATAACATACACCGAACGTCTCTTTAATCTGAAGTGTCGTTATTGTATAACATAAAATGAATAATGCTTATTTTATAATTAATCCATTATTGTAGGTTATAATTGGAATCCTGATTGCTGCAAAGTTTGGATTGACTGGACAAGGATCATTTACAAAAACTGAAGCCGACATCCTTTTGTTCTTTATTTGTGCATATGTTGCAGCATTTGCATGGTCATGGGGACCATTGGGTTGGTTAGTTCCCAGTGAAATATGTTCTCTTGAAGTTCGACCGGCAGGTCAAGCTATAAATGTTGCGGTGAACATGTTCTTCACATTTATCATTGCTCAAGTCTTCTTAACCATGCTTTGTCACTTGAAGTTTGGTCTCTTCTTTTTCTTCGCGGGTTTTGTGATCATCATGACCGTTTTCATTGCCCTACTTTTACCTGAGACCAAGAATGTTCCTATTGAAGAAATGAATAGAGTGTGGAAGTCACATTGGTTTTGGACCAGATTTGTTCCAGATCAAGTCGTTGTTGGTGGTAATAACAAAAAGAGTTCTCCATGAATTTTATAAAGAATCGCTTGTGATGAATAACAAAATCAAAAGCAGTGACTACAAGGGAATATCGAAGAAAATGAATGAGTGGGAAAATAAATTGTAGCATTATGCAACAAATAATAATATCTTGATGCACTTGATTTTCTTCTATTCTTTTAGAGGAAAAATTGTTATGTCCCACTTGATTTTGGTTTGATGAATAATAATTGAACGTGTTGTTCTTAAGATGATTCTTTATGTTTCTTTCTCTTATACATGTTTGAAATGATTCAGTAAGGATCTAAAGAAATACAATGCAACTACGTTTAATTTAAACTTTAAAACTTTTCTCATTTCTAAGCATATATATATATATATATATATATATATATATATATATATATATATATATATATATATATATATATATATATATATATATATATATATATATATATATATATATATATATATATATATATATATATATATATATATATATATATATATATATATATATATATATATATATATATATATATATATATATATATATATATATATATATATATATATATATATATATATATATATATATATATATATATATATATATATATATATATATATATATATATATATATATATATATATATATATATATATATATATATATATATATATATATATATATATATATATATATATATATATATATATATATATATATATATATATATATATATATATATATATATTAAAAGACATATTTTTGAGAGAACTATGGGCATCGGAATCAACTTTGTCACTTTATTTATATTTAAAACAAAACTAAATACATAAAATTTTTAGAGAACATTGAGTACTAGGTAATGAGACTTTTATGGTTGACTTTTAAATATTTAATATAATTGTTTGACAAAATTTGGTCACTTAAATTTGTTGTTTATACATGCTAGAAAGAAAAAAAATAGTTTAAATATTATTTTTCTTCTCTTATCTTATTCTTGAGATTCATTTTAGTCCCTTAACTTTAAAAAAGACTATTTAAATCCTTTAACTATACAAACAGAACCACATTAGTTCTTTCCATCCAAATCCCAATAACGGCATCAATTTTCGCATGTGACACGTGACGTGTAACATTAAACTTTTGTGACAATTTAACGATGAAAATATCGGTCACTGATTTTTTTTTAGGTTTATGATATGATCTTTATCTTCTTTGTTATATCATCTTTATCTTCATTTTATAGATACAAAACTAAAATCATAAAACCAACTTCTAGATTATATCCATACTTTAGTTTTTTCTTGCTACTTGATAACTTTGAAAAGTATCGTGTTTCCAACTCGACTCACATGCCTTGTTGACTCTTTTTTCTTTCCTTTTTTATAGTTTTAGATTTGTACTTGGTCTTTCTTTTAGGTATATTGATTGCAGGAGTGTTTGCGCGAAGAAATGGTGCAAAACAATGAAAACAAGAGTGAAAAGGAAATTTTGCACTGATATGATGCCCTCCCTGCCATCTGACGCCCTTCATGACGTGGCACTCTTAAAGCATCATCCCTACAAGACAAAACTTGAGGAATTTGAGTGCAAGTTGGATGACAGGTAGGTTGTAACCTAGGTGATGCCCGTCATCCCTCCACGAACAGTGACGACCAGGGTGTCAGAGTCATGACACCCGTCATTGTTCTGTAGTTCAGAAAAATAAGACACGTTTTCATACTTGGCAAGATATTTTTCTACCACTTTTTCCACTACCTTTTGCATATTTTGGGATACCCTTGTACGAATTGTAATTCTATAAATAGGCCTTTAGAATTCAGTTTTCATATCCAAGTGTTTTAGAATTAATTTTAGGTAGAAAATTCAGTTTTATTAAAGCGCTTATTTTCTAAAACTGAGAGATAACTGCAACTTAGTTTAAGATTCTACAATTTTTCTAATTATATTTGAATTGTTCAAGTTGTAATTTTGACGGCATCATATTTTTAAAATTTTATTCGACAATTATTAAATACCAGTATTGGAGCTTTTCTTATTTATATATGTATTCTTTCACTACATATCTCGGTTCTTTATTTATTATTATTACTACTTTTCTTAATTACACTACTAGAAAACTCTGTTTTTCTGCATTTACCTGCGGATTTTGACAAAGTTTCCGCAGGAAACGTGTTACCTGCGATTCTTCCTGCTATTTTCTGTTTCCAGCTAAAACTTTCGTGGGTAATTAATTTAGCAGGTAAAGTCGCAGGAAACTTTTGCAGGAAATATTGCAGGGAAATGTCACAGAATATATTATTATAAATCCAAAATCGCAGGTAAAGTCTTAGGAATTTCTGCCAACTTTGCTGCTAACTCAATTTTCGCAGGAAATAATGCTTCACAACATAAATTCGCTGGCAAAACCGCAGGTACATTTGCGGATGAATTTCCACAGGAAAATCCGCAGGTAATTCCTGTATTTCTAGTAGTGTTACCACTTGCATATGCCTTTGTTCTTATATTATTCTAATTCAAAATGTTTGGCATGTTTAATTTCGAGTACTATTTATGTTCGGTTTGAAATATGTCCAGCTAAATTCTTAAGGATTTGTTTAGGGGCTCACATAAATAAGAAAAGTACTGGAAATTAATGATTAAAATGGAATTTGTTTAGGGGCTGATTTTACTCTGTTTTAAAATAATATATTCACTACGAAAGCATAATTTAACAATATTGGTTCTATTTCAAAAGAACAAAACCTGTATCTGACTTAGAAAAATTCAGATTTTAATTATTTGCACCGTGGCAGCATCTTTTGATAATTTTTAAAAATAATTATTTTCGAAAAGGAATTTTAAAAACATAAACAAACATGTGAAAGCGGGCGTTTATGCACTTAAAATTCGGTATTAGACGAGCGAAAGCCAGTAAATACCTTTAAATTTATTTATACACCATAATCAACTTTTTGAATAATTAGAAGTAAGTAATTTTCAAAAATAGAGTTTTACACTTTAACACGCTGAACAAACAAAAGTGATAGTATAGATTGTCGACTAAAACCTAGTTCCAATCGCGCGAAAGCAAACAATTCCTGTAAATTAATTAATTTTCTTATGAGAAAAATCAACCCAATTTTATCATATTAATACGAATTTTTGAGTACTCTTGGTTGATGACAACCGCATTGGGTCTACGTCTTTAATTTATTTTCTAAACTAGCTTCTTTTAGTTCTGTTGCATCCCAAAATTATTATTATTATTATTAGCCTTAGATTTACACTGTAGCGATAAACAATGATAGGTTGATATTTGGTCTCTGTGGGTTCAATATCTTTTTAGATTACTACAATATTTTCATGCACTTGCGTACCTATCATGTTTTTGGCGCTATTGTCGAGGACCATAAAGTTAATAACTTGATTGCTTTTCTTCGGCTATAGACTTAGGATTTTTTCTTATTCTCTTATTTCACTTTTTTCTATTGTATCCCAATTACCTGCTCATCCGAGGATAGGTTAGAACAACTAATTGATGAAATCGAGTGTTTTCTCCTTATTAGACGTCAATTAGAACAACTTCACGCCCAATTCACCATTCTCGTCGTTCCAATCAATAATGAGCGTCCTTTAAGAAAGATGTCGTCCCCTCTCAAGACGAGCCTCATTTGGACATTGCTCCCTAAAATATTCAACCTAATAACTTTGAGCTTAAACCCTATCTGCTACAAATCATACAACAAATCCAGTTCTCTTAAATCCCTATGGAGGACCTCAATTTGCATCTTTTTGTGTTCCTTTAGCATGTTGACACGTTCAAGAGTAATGGCGTCAATCTCGAAGCCATTGGATTATGTCTTTTCCTCTTTTCCTCGGGGAAAGAGCTAGAGCTTGTCCACAATCCTTCCTAACTAATTCCATTACTACATGGAATGGCCTCAGAAAGGTGTTCTTGCCCGATATTTCTCGCCGTCAGTTTTAAGAAACCAAATCACTTGTTCTAGACAAGCTGAAGGAGATCCCTCTTTGAAGCTTGGGAAAGGTACAAAAATATGATGAGACTTAGCATGCATCATGGCCTATAGTAGTGGTTAATTATCCACACTTTTTATAATGGTTCAAAGCTCATTGGAAAGCTCTTGACAAGTCCTACAAAAGTCCCTAAGTGGTCCATGATCAAAAAATGCATAGATTTGGAGTTATGACCAAATTCATTTCAAGAAGGGAAATAACTTAGAAATTTTCTAAGTTGTTTGGCCTTTTAAGTATGTTTTTTCAGCAACTTGGAGGGGGTTTTCAACCTAGTTCCGTCTAGAATTTGGAAATCTCAAAAACATGAAAGTTGTAGAGATACTTGAGGGTTTTCTAAAATGCGGTAGAACTACTCAATAGCATTTGTGAGCAGAGAGATATGGATCATGGAAGTTGGGGCTGCCACACTTGAAGTCACCACTTCAACTTTTTCCAAAATTCAAATTTCAACAACTTGGGCCACCCTCAGCCATTGTATCATGTTCAATATGATATTTAGAGATGTGAAATGCAGAAAAAATGGAAGAAGTGAAGAGAGAAGAGCAAGTTGCAACAAGTGGTAATATAATAATCAAGAAATGTGAAAGAGGAAAGAGAAACTTTTTCTCCAAGACTGTAGTAGCTGCAATCTCTACACTCTAAGCTCTATTCAGTCACCTCGTGTCCATCATTCCACTTGATTTTTCCTTGCCTTGAGCCAAGAAACTGATGTGTAGAGCTGCCACAAGATTTTGGCAAGATTTCTTCACAATTTCCTTCCAAGCAAGCCAAAATCCTAATCTGTCCTCACCTTCATTTTCCCTATAAATAGAGGTCTTCTCTATGATGTTAGGGACACCAGAGCACTCTACAACCCAAGAGAAAACCCTTTCTCTCATCTTGCTTTGCATTTTCTTACAAGTGAAGAAAACCATCCAAAACACCAAAAATCTGCCTTGAAGCAAAACATCTTCCAAAATCATTTTCACTCATCATAGAAGTCAACTTTTAACCAAGCAAA